AGATACCAGTGGTCTCCCAACCAATGGATGAACCAGTGAGTCATTGTAGGAAGGGACAGATGAGAACTTTAGATCCAGGTGAAGAAACATGCTTTGGTTTCTAGGTAGATTTGTGACAAGGAAATGTATGCCATAGATCCAGGGAAACAAGCCAAAATCTAGATGAAGTAAAAGCCAGTGAATAAAGGGGAAAAAAGGTGGTGCAGTGTCAACAGCAAAGCCTTGGCCTTTACCATGTACGTTTTCTGCGCAGCTCAGGACTTCGATCCATTGTGATTTCCTGTTTCCTGCCTAAACAGTACTTTAAACAACAACTTTAGAGTTCATCAGAAGCAGGCATTAACGTTTAAGTCCAAAGGTTTTTGGAGCCGATATGTGGCTTCAAAGCTTTTAGGCTAGCTACCGAATGATTGTGTCAGAGCATGAACCTGACCTGTGATAGCATATTGGCTCACTGGAACCACATAAGGAATAGTAAAGAAAGAGCCAAGAAAAAGAGGAGCATTGACAAGAACATGATTTAAGTGTCCAGGTAAGCCTTATCAGTTTTCCCAGGGTAGTTGTCAAGATTCTGGATCTGAAGAGGCCTCAACTGAAGTATGAACAAATGTGTAATATAATTTGCCATTGAGCAACAAGGGGAGAAAACATTTTTAAAATTTTAAGGGCATGGATAATTTTCTAAGACCACACCCAAATCCTTTGCTGTTAAGTTGATTCTGACTCACAGTGACCCTATAGGACAGAGTAGAACTGTCCCCTAGGGTTTCCAAGGCTGTAAATCTTTACAGAAGCAGACTGCCACATCTTTCTCCCGTGGAGCTGCTGGGTGGGTTTGAACCGCCAGCCTTTCGATTAGAAGCCAAGCACTTTAACCACTGTGCCACCAGGGCTCCTTTTTCTAAGACCAGATTATTGAATTTATTGATAAAATTAACTTGCTCACATCATCTGTGAGAACCTCTTTTATGTACCAGTTCACGGAATCCTTGCTATTATTTGCAGTCGTTATGACTAATAACTGCTTTTCCCCCTTTCACCTGTACCAAGTACTAAAATTACTTTCTTTTTTTGTGCCTGCACTCACATAAATTGAAGACATGGGACCCATTTAGTATCTGTAGCGCTCGGCTCATAGCATCCAGGACCAAGAGACCATTAGAAATGGCAAAGCAGGAGGGGTGATCAGGCAGGTGCATCTAGAGAACAGTGGTTCTTAACCTTGGGGATTCAGACTCCTTTAAGGGCTGGGTATAAGCTATTTTTCTCTAGAAAAGCCTCAGAAAGACACCCTTCATTTTAGGAGGTTTCAAACAGGGTTTGTGAAACTCTAGAATGCTTTAGAATTTTTGTAGGTTCTTAATCTAGGAGCTAGTTGCATTTATGAGGCAAATTTGCAGCAGTTTTTGGAGGTTTGGGGCTTCTGAAGTAGCACATCATTTATTTATTCAATAAATATTTAATGAGTACCAGCTTTGTGCCAGTTCATGGGGAGATCTGTGAGCAAACCCTTATGAAGCTTACATCCTAGTTTGGAGACAGATAAACGCAAGTTCAGAATAATGGTAAGTACTGAGAGGAAAGTAAAACAGTCATGTGATAGGGTGGCTATGTGGGGTGACTCTATTTTAGATTGAGTATTTGAGGCCAGGAGACAGTTGAGATGAAACCTACTCCCATAATCTCTAATACTGTAAACCAGTTGTTCTGGTAATTCTTACCTTAAAAAATCAGCCACAGGTTGAGTGTGTGTCATATAGCTTGTTGTCAAAGATGAAAATGACCATTAGCCTAGCAAATTTTTTTCCCGTAGAAACTCTAAAATATCAATTTACTTTTAACTTTAAGTAAGTATACTTCTGAAAGTATATTTTGAGAGCATCTCAGTTCTTTCTGTATTTGGGTGCATTCCTAGCATATAAAACAATGCTGCCCTCTGGTGGCAAACAGTTTAATAGTATCCCAGCTTTACTTTGCAGTCTCTTTCAGAGGTTTACTCTGTTTAGTAGAACTTATTTCTGACTGAAACAATGAATATCTTTTTTAGATTGTATTTGAATTTAGAAGGTCTTGCCGTGAGAATTCATTTGGAAGTCTTTATTTAGTCTCAGACACTTATATGGTTTTCTGTGGTGAGTAACATGCAATTGAAGGACAGGTTACATAATAAATGGGAATCATTCAAGTCTCTGAACTTCATGAAAGCAGGTTAATAGTCGTAGAGAAATAAAGCACACAAGGTGAATTGCCAATACAAGCATGGAAAATCCTGGACTTTAACTTGGTTTGCATAGCCCTTAAAACACCTTTTTGAGTAGAAATTTCTTAAAAGTATATCCATTGGAATCTGAAAAGACAAGTCATTAGGAATAGTGAACGTTATTAGCAGAATTTTATATTAAAAATTTCCTTCGAAATATGACCGTAGTCTTTAATTTACTACTCTGAATTTTTGGCCTTCTTCTTCTAAACACCAATTTTATTATGTTTCACTTTTTGCCGTATGAACATTTTCCTGAATCCATAATCAAGTCTTTAATTGAAAGATTCTTTTTCAAGTATTGGTTTTCATCTCTTAGAGAGTAACTTAACTTGATTTTTTTTTTTTTTTTTACTTTTTTAGAAAATTTATATAAATGAGACTTACATATATGAGAAACCATCTGAGTTAAAAATAAATTTCACTTATTTTCCAAATCCAGGGAAAAAAATTACTGCATCCTGAATCTTTTGGTTTTGCAATAGTAGTTCTCCTTTAGGGTCCTAACTGGGTACTTTAGTTCTTTCTGGTGGTCACTTCAATGAAAGTAAAATTCGTAAATATAGATAATTGCACATATTTCTAGTTGAATCTTTATCGGCTGATAAATACAGAGTTTTTAGTTACTTACATTTTATGGTCTCATCATTAAGTGCTGTTTGAGTGTACTTAAGGAAATGCAATTACATATTTTGGTTTTGAATACCTCAACAAAATAACTGAACCACACCTTTTGAGGTTGAGTCGATTCGAACTCATAGAGACCCTATAGGACAGAGTAGAGCTGTCCCATAGGGTTTCCAAGGCTGTAAGTCTTTACGGGAGCAGACTGCCACATCTTTCTCCCATGGAGTAGCTGGTGGGTTTGAACCGCTGACCTTTTGGTTAGCAGCCGAGTGCTTACCCACTGCACCACCAGGGCTCCTTTGAATTCCCCACCCAAAACCAAACCAAACCCACTGCTGTCAAGTTGATTCCAACTCCTAGTGACCCTATAGGATAGAGTAGAACTGCCCCATAGGGTTTCCAAGTCTATAAATCTTTACAGAAGCAGACTGCCACATCTTTCTCCCTCGGAGTGGCTGGTGGGTTAGAATGGCTGACCCTTTTGTTAGCAGCCCGGCATGTAACCATTGTGCTGCCAGGGCTCCTTGTTTTATAATCGTGACAAATCATAATAAATTATCTAAAATTATTGTTGGCCAAAGATAATGTGGTTGGAGAAATTGTGTAATTTAATTGGATAGGGTGGATTTCTGTTATATTTGTTTCATAGAAAGCTATAAAACATACCTAGCAGTTGTTTCATCTTCTGTAATCTTTTGCCTGGTAGGACAATTGAAGCTATATGGTCTTTATTATGCTTAGCTTGAAAATGTTGAGTTAATATCCTTTTATGAATGTGGGTTGGTATAAGTTACAGGAAGATCCTCATAGATCATGTTATATACAGTCTTTTTATTACAGCATTTTGATGAAGGAATCACCATATATGTAAATATACCTTGCTTTTATTACAAAATATGATTTATACATCTACACACACACACACACACACACACACACACACACACACACACACAGACACAGACACAGACACAGGATTTCAGTGGACAGCCAACCATGCCTGTTCCAGAGCAAACTCAGCCCCAGGAACTAAAGGTGACTGTTTGAATGTTTTCTTTTTTTTAAAAAAAGGAGCTTCACTCTATGTGGTAGGTCATTTGGGATGTTCTGATAGAGGGACTTTCTGAACAGGGAGAAAAGCTGTACCTTTTTGAAGGAATGCTAGACTTTTAGGAGATATACGCACATACTTAAGTATGTATGTGCGTTTGGGGGGAGGAGCTGGTTAGTGATTCTCATTTGACTGTTCTGGCCTATAGCAGCCTCAGCATTGTTCTACAGCAGCCATGATGTGTTACATCTTCTTATGAATGGGAGAGTTTACTATGAGAGAAACTAGTTCTCTCAAGTATTATATATAGATTTTTTTTCACCTTGGAGTAACAGGACTGTATTTCCTTCATAGCTTATAAAACTGGATCATCTAACCCTGATTATTCTATTTTAAATGTTAATCACAATTTTATATCTTTACAATAACGTAATAAGGTTGATGAAATTCCTGTAAATAATTAATTAATTAAAAATAACTTGACATTCTGTATAACATATTTTCTCTCTTCAGGTTTGTGATTATGATAGGAAAAGCCTTGTTGAAGAGTATATTTCGGATTTCTCTTTTTACTTTTGGAATCTAAGCTGATTCTTAGAGAAAATAAAACCCCCCATGTTAGGATCATTACTGCATTTCTAACGGTGGCTTTGACAATTGTACGTGAATAGCAGGGAGAAAGGGAGAGGATACATGAGATAAACTTTACGAAAGCATGCCGCTTCCAGAATCTGTCGAGTATCCTGAATAACATGTGGTGGGTCAGTGAGGATTCAGCGTAGCTCCTCAATTAGCCTTGATGCAAAGCTTTTTCAGTTAAGTGGCTCTTTTTTTATGCTGCACAGAATATCTTGCTATTCCTAAAAGGCACGTTGATGAAACATAATAGTAGTAACTCTGCCTTAGTTTCACTAATGTATATGCTTTACTGGCATGTTCTCTGATCATCTTGCACTAGCCTTTTGCTTTTTATGACCATTTAAATTAACGTGATAGATTCAGCCTTACTTTGTGACATTTTAGTACTTTTGTAATAAAAGGAATATTTCCTTCCATCTGCAGGTGCTGCTGTTTTTTCAAACGAAGGAAAAGGAAAACTGTTCAGCGCCACAAATGACTTTGGACACAGACAGATCATGGGGAATTACTTACATATTCATCTGCTGTCTTGTGATTAAAATCATCTCTGTAGTGACCACATATATTTTCAAGGACTCACTCTTAAAAACATCATATCTTCATACTTCATTTTGTGATTGTCTTACGGTCATATTTTTTTCTAATTTAACTTTTATGGAAGCTTTAAAGTTTTGTCAAAACATGAGTGCTTTGCCCATCAATGAAAGGAATGGACTAGTGCAGTGGTATCAATAAATATAGTTCTATAGAACATTTTTCAGAAGCTCTTCTCCTGTTGTAGAAAGCAGTACAGTATCTTAAATGTCAACCAGTTTTATACCTAACCTGGTTTTTTATGAGTTCTGTCAGAGCTTAATCAAACAGGAAGTTTCTCCCCAGTGGATAATGCAACAGAGAAAACAGAGTCGCCCAAATGTTTAAAAGAAGTGATTCCTTGAGAAGTTCATATTTTGTATGACATCTGCATTGAGTTCAGTATTACTGATGGTACTGCTATTCATGAGTCATATTAAGAGTCTCTGTGTGAAATCATGGTACAGTCACTGCCCAGAGGTACTGAGGAAAAAGCTCTTTGGATTCTGCAGATGGTAGTGATAAATCACGAGTCACGCGGTGAATATGAGTTCTGCTTTTGTTGCACCACTATGTGAAGTGCGGTGTTGCAGATGTGGCAAAAGTGCTTATTAAAAAAATGCAAAATATTTGTATAATGCAACTTTATGCTTCCAGATAATAATGTATTTAGACAGCAGGAAATGAATACTTTGAGAAATGAGATATGTTGGAGTTTAAAAAAATATACCAAGGAGAAAAAATAAATGTGAACCTCACTGAAATGTATTAAGGGTGAAGTCTAAGGTGACCCTGTTGAAACCTACTGCTGAATGGTTACGTTCTCCCTTAAGCGGAAAACTTTGGATGTGCCACACAATGGTGTTCTGTTTATTAAAATATTTTGCTTTTTGATTAAAAAAAAAAAAAAAAAGACCCCCAGCAATAAAAATTGGGTCACTCTGTTGCCCTTTGTGCACATTAGTCTCTTATATTCAACTTTGCTGGTTCTCTGGAATTTTCTTACTATTTAGCAGAATTGTGATGATTGAAATATATTTTGGAGAGGATGGGTCAGGTGCTTTGCCTCCATAGTCTTTTGAAGTGCCTGCATATGAACAAAGTAACAGTTCTATAAAAACAGAAACCCATTCCACTTTTCAAGTATGCTTTGTTTTAAGCCATGAAGACACAGTGTACTTTTGTCACATATTACTAGCCAGAATTTTCAAGAAGAGTTAAAACAAAATGACTGGCTGCAAAGATGATTATATTGTTCAAATCTTATACTTACCTTTCATTTATAAATTGTCACTCCTTCCATTCAGTCACTTCTTTGTCTTTGAGTGCATGCCTCCAGGCATGCTTATTTATTTTTAATGTCTCAAGGTAACATTTGAAATGTGTATTAAAGTAAATAAATCCACATTTTTGACTTCATTATTGCATTTACAGGGACTTAATTATACTTTGTAATTTATTTTTTTTTATTAGCCAAAAGTTCAATGCATTGTTTTTGATGAATTAGGCATCTGTATAAGTACCACAGATCTGCTCATTGTTTATCATTGTTGCTATGAATACTATGAATGATCTTTTTAAATTCTTGATTTTAAAGACCTAGAAAGCATTTGTTGTATAATTTGGTCAACAGTTTCCATTCTATTTGTATATTGTCATGATGTCTTAAACTATAGGATTACATACTGAGTTTTTACTTTGCTTTGAGCAAGGTAGATGGTTGTTTTGGCCATTATAATGTGAAACCACTTCATCTTTCTTTACAGTATTTGACCAAATTTGTGTGTCTATGATATTTGTAAATACATGCGGTATCTGTATTTCTTTCATAAGCCTATTTAGTTTTATTCTCAGTAGGGTTTTTTGGACTGTACAGTGTTTATATGATCTGAACTCCTTATACATAAGAAGGTGTGTATATTAATCCAATTATGGACTTAAAATATTTTAAAAAGTATAAATACCCTTATTTGCTGCAAAGACCAGTGTGTAGACATTTGCTTTTTAGCAATATTTTTAAGTGCTCCATTTTAATGCCAAGGAATAAGTCTTTTGGCAACACGGACTGGTCAGTAATAGGTAATGCAGGTGTGTTCAGGTTAAGCCAACAATGATTTGCATTTATATGCTTCTTTTCTGTCAACACTAATGAAGTCAACATTGCCTGAATGTCTGAATAATGAAACACATCCCTGTTTAAAAGTATGTAACTGAAAAAAATAAAAATAAAGGTAGTTTTTTTAAACTTGTTTTTTCCCCTTTCCTCTAATCATGGGTAAAATAATGCCACTCATTAATTTAAGATAGGAATTAAAACATTAATTCATTCACTGTGTCATGTGAGAAGCAGAACTAAAGAAATATGCTTTTGTTATTTTGTTGTTTTTGTTTTGTTGAAACCTAGTTGAAAAGAACCCGTAGCAGCAAGGATCTAAGCTTTCTTTAATGAAGGTTTTGCTATTTTTTTTACATTTCTCTGAACTATTTAATAGAGCAATTAATTATAGCTAATGTCTTCTGATAAACTAAGGCAAAGAAGCTAAATTGTTTTATTCCTTTTTTGAAATAATATTATACTATGATAATACAGAAATTAAACATTATTAGTTTGGTTTTAAGTGAATGGCTGTAAAATCTAGTTAATTGCAGTTGGAGAACATGTATCTGTGGCAGTATCTCGCAGTTTGTTGTTCTAGGTACTTTGAAGCATTTTGCAAAATGACATTAATGGTGCTCTGCTTATTAAAGGGGAGTCCCTGGGTGATGCAAATAGTTAACACTCTTGGCTGCTAGCCAAAATGTTGGAAGTTTGAGTCCACCCAGCGGCACGTCGGAAGAGAGGCCTGGTGGTCTACTTCCAGAAACTTAGCCATTGAAGACCCTATGGAGAACAGCTCTATTCTGACACACATGGGATTGCCATGAGTCAGAACTGACTTGACAGCAACTGGTTGTTTACTTACTGAAGGATACTACAGGTAAGATAAGGCAAAGCAGCATACACTCAGTTTATGAATAGCATGTCCGTTAAGCAGCAGAAACAGAAGCAAGAGAAAGATCTGGAGATGACACGTAACTGTTATAAGATTGGAATTCCAGTCTGAATGTTTGTATAGTGACATTTGTCAGAACTCTTTTGAATTGCAAGTGACAGAAACTTAACCTGGCTTAAGCAATAGGGGTTGTATAGTGGTTCATTTAACTTAAAAGTTCAGTGGTAGGACTTGCTTCAGGCATGCTCAGTCTTGGTGCTAAAACAGGAATCTGTCTTTCTCCGTATTTCTTAGTTTTGCTTTCCTCCCTGCTGTTTTCATTCTCAGGTAGGCTTTCCATGTGTGATGGTAAAGTGGCCACCCAGCAGTTTTAGACTTTATCAGCCTAGTAAGCAAAAACAAAGGTCCATTTTCCCCAACAGTTCCAACAAAGTCCTAAGGCTCATGTTTATTGCCTCCTTGGTTCACGTGTTCACCCTTGAGCCAGTTACTATGGCCAAGGGAATGCTGTTTTCCCAGTGGCTGAGCCTGAGTCCATGGGTCCACCTTCAGAGGACACAGTGGACTAAGAATGAGGCAGAAGGAGTGTTATCCAAAAGAAAATTAGGATATTGTTACCAAAAGGAGAGTGAATGATTATCATTATTGTTTTTGAGAATTTTATAAATCTGGATACATTATTAGAAATCACTTACGTACTGAATGAGTACATTTGAAAAATGCTTTGAACTCCGGTTAGATGGGGATTTCAAAAGTACCTTATTTGGTATGTTTTTGTTTAGCTTTTCAGGGTTTTGGTGATAGAACTAGAACTAGGTTCGAAGAATTAAAGGCTGATTTTCTTACTGGACTACAAATAAAGGAATTATTATGAAGTTTTACTGATGTTTACTGAGTAGCTTTTTCCCTGCCCAGCTCTAATACAGACCCATGTAAGTTATTTTCCTATGAAATTTACTAGTTCTTTTTTTTTTTAATTGTGGTAAATATATATGTGAGAAAACATTTACCTGAAATTTACTTCTTCATAAGAGTACATGGATCATAACCAAAGAAAGAACTATACATGGAAGTATTATCAGGTAATATTGTCAGGATATGAAAATAGTTTTCTTAGAAAGAATAGTTGTTCACAGGGATATTTACCGTACTGTGATTTTACTTAAATGGGAAAACACTCCTACATTGCTGTAGACCAGGGGTTGGCAAACTTGTTCTATAAAGGGCCAGAGAGTGAGAAGTTTAGACTTTGTGGGTCAGGAGGCAAAGTCGAGACTATTATCTATATTTATATTATGAGAAAACAAATTTTTACGAATACTTTGTTGGTGAAATTTAAAATATATTAATAATTGAGTACAGTTTTTTTTGTAATACAGTTCTACTAATAAAAATTGAATTATTTTGGAGGGGATATTTCACTTAATTGGGGTTGAAAATTGATAATAAATGTTCATCTGTTAATGCTGATCTGTAATTCAATTTTATTTGTCATCTTTGAAGATGTCTTTTCACAAAGATACTACCAAATACTGTTATTGATCCATGAGTGTATGATTTTAAGTGAGCATATTCATCATTTGAAAGGTATTTGTAGAATTCTATTTGATTCTGTTGTTATTTGCCTTTTAGTATGTCATTACATTGCATATTAATCACTTACAATTGAAAATTAAGTGCTACTTTCAATTGTACAGTTAAATGGATTTTGAAGTATAGAAATTTCCTTTGCACTTGCAGTGAGGTTCAAAAATGTGTCTGGAGCTGTAGTTGAGTTTGGAGAACATACCCAGTTGTGTGGTAATGGAGATCTTGCTTGGTGTTTTAACATGATAGCATGGGACAAATCAGCTCGACATTACTTGTGATTTAAACAGTATTAGTTATTATTAAATTACTTAGCCTCAGTGTAAAGTTCACATATAAGTGCTGTTTTGCCTTGTAATTTTAGGTTGAATTTGTTAAGAAACATCGTCAAGTTTGCAACAAAAGCTAACTTCCAAAGCCGTTTAGTGACTGACATTAGTGGTTGTTGAAGGTGATTCTTCTTGTTCAGAAAGATAAAACTTTACTATTGCTGAGCCATCAAACTGCTGTGTAGTTGGGCAAATCGGGATATTTAACTTCTACTTCTGACAGCATTTAATGGAACTGATGATAGTTAAAACTACAAGAGTGAATGAAATTCACCCTTGGTTCAATAACCTATGATAGATTAAAATATTTTCTGGAAAATGTCTGCTGAAGGTTATACAATGTATTGAGTGATTGGCTTTAAACAGCTTACATTTTCATAAGCTTTGTAAATTTGTCCAAATTAACCTTTTTTCTGCTTCACACATATTTTTACCACCGTCAGTTGCAACACATCTTAGCAGATTCTACTTCGGATTGTACTGAGTTAGTGTTTTCTCTAGCACATCTTAGCAGATTCCACTTTAGATTGCACTGAATTAGTGTTTTCTCAACTTCTTTGAAAATATTTCTGCCTATAGTTCTGTGCAGACTGTTCACAGAGACTGATTTTTCAGTCAGTTCAAATGCAGCATTGACTCAAGTAAAGAACAACTAAGTAGTATTGGTACTATCTGTTGGCTCATCAAAAGTCAAAGACAGTCACTCTAACTTCCTTGCCTTGATTTTTAATTGACTTCAGTTTCACCCCAATATCCTCAGCTTTTCCAGCAACTGTTCTTGCTGAAAGGCTAATAGTCTTAAACAAATTTATTTTCTCTAGACATGTTTTCCGGCTGCTGCAATCAAACACGATTTAATTAACTCTAACTCACCATCAGTAAATAACTTTCCTTGCTTGACTAACAAATGAGCCACTCAGAAAGTTATTTTGGTTTCACCTTTGTTTTCATTTTCTTCTTTAGTGAATAAATTCTGCTATAATGACATATTCTGTTTTAAATTTTTT